AAAAATAAAAAAAATAAGAAGAATAAGAATAAAACCAAGAATAAGAATAAAAATACCAATAACAACGACAATAATATTAACACCCACAACAACAACAACAACAATATTCCCTACTGGACCCGAATAACAATTTGGATCGGAATGATCCCCGCCGGGCCACAATCGCGTGCACTGGATCGGAACATTACCCGCCGGATCTCAATTACAAAGAATTTTTAAAAATATATCCGATAGATTGCTAGAAAAAAATCTTGGAAAATATATGAGATAAAATATGAATGTCAAATAAAATATCAAAATATAATATAATATATATATATGCGTAAAAATTGCTCTGTGTAAAGATGCCTGTACATATTGTAATTTGATTATAGATATATATTGATATAAAATATCTTTTCAAAAAGAATATAAATTCCCATATTTGATGGGTTTCCATTATTTATAATAATAATATATATAGGGTCCCTCAATATTAATTTTTGGAATTTTTCAAAATATATATATTTTTTTTTATATTAAAAAAAAATAGATATTTTTTTTTAAATAAATATAATTTAATATAATTTTTTTAAAATATATAAATTTATTTATATAGAAAATTTTTATCACAAAAAATCTTTGGAAAAAATAATATATATATAATTTCTTTGGATACAAGAAAAATATATAAAAAATATAAAATAATTAAAATATATTACAAATTATATAAATCTTCTCTATAATTATATATTTTTTTCATCAAAACAATATCGATATTTTGAATATTTTAATATAAATAAAAAAAAAAATATAAATATAAATAAATATAAATAAATATAAATAAATATAAATAAATATAAATAAATATAAATAAATATAAATAAATATAAATACATATAAATACATATAAATACATATAAATAAATATAAATAAACATAAATAAATATAAATAAATATAAATAAATATAAATAAATATAAATAAATATAAATAAATATAAATAAATATAAATAAATATAAATAAATATAAATAAAT